AATGACAGAAATCTTGTTGACCGAACGCCAAAAACTTGTGTATGGGCACTGGCAGCGCCCGAAAGACAAACCCAGGAGTGACCGGACGACAAATCTCAGAGCTTACCCTGCCATCTGAGGGGGGTAGCTGTCAACCCCTCAGATGGCATGGGCAATCGCAGTGCCCGTGCCATCTGAGGGGTTGACAGCTACCCCCCTCAGGTGGTAACCTTAATGCTATCATTGAACATCTTTTTTATAAACCAAATAGTGTGCCATGTGTTAATGCTATCAATGTAAAGATGTTTAAAAACCAAATAGTGCACCCTGTGTTAATGCTATCAATGGAAAGATTGTATAAACCAAATAGCTCACCCTGGGATAATGCTTTCCGTGAAAAGATGTGTTAAAAACCAAAAAGCTCACCTTGTGATTAAAGGGTTTCACTATTAAAGGGTGTCACTATGAACCCCTCAGAGGGCAGGGTAGACTAATCTTGCAAGAGAAGATCAATCAATATCAAGATCATGTCTTTGATGTTCATGTTGCTGACCAAGATGGTGAACAATGGTATGATCATGATGGCAGCCTTGATGTTCAAGGTCTTCAATGAGAAGAGAAGTAAAGAGGTGCTTGTAGTGTTTTTCATTCATGATTCATGATGATGATTCACAAAAAGATCAGCATCATGATCTTAAACCTGATCGGTATTCTTTTCTTTGATAATGTTCATGCTGGTGATCACATTAACCAAACACAGTCTGGAACAAGATTTTCAATGTTGAAGCGTCGGCGTAGTAGAAACATGAAGGTCACAATCACGAACTTGGACCTGATCAAAAATGTTCTCTGATGATGATCATGTTGGTGTTCAAGGTGATGAAAAAACAGTAAGGATGATGAACGCATTGTGGTCTTAATGGTGGCCTTGATGATGAACAAGGTTTTGATCTTGAAGACAACCACAGTGGTGTTTGTAATGATCTCCAGCAAGGTGAACACTCCAAATACAAATGAAAACATCAACTAACAGTGAGGTGGCTTACTTAGAACATATTTTTTCACAGGCGGGAAGTTCTAAGTGTATAGGTCGCAATGTTCCAAGAGTATGTGCCAGCAAATGTTCTAACCCTAGATCCCAGGCCCTCGCAACTACAATAAGAACATCTAAGAACATAGTCCAAGACATGCACTTACAGTAGAACATATTTTAAATTACCGTTGCTGGCAAGATTTCATTACGATCAGCATTGAAGGAGAGGAAAAACCAAGAGCTGTGAAAACGAGGGGAAACCCACACACACATAGATATACATGTATATACATGTGATGTTCCAAGTGTGCTGTCTTCTATTGTTCTAAGATTGCTTGCAGTCCATGTTCTAAGTGTGCTTACACTGGATGTTCTCGGCTCGATGTTCTAAGTAAAGGGTTTTTCATTTCGGAAAAGATGCTGTTCTAAGTTCTAAGTATCCGTCTGCAACTATAGCCTTCTATGCTATCGCGACTGCTGTGTCGTGGTCACCCCACGTGTTAAAAGCAAGGGCAGCATAAAGTTCGAGTTATCCCATTGGAGTCCCGTACGGTCCAGGCTGTGTAGCTCTGGAACGAATGGAGGGGATCAAAGACGTAAGCTCCCAATCTCTCCTTGGGACGTCTGAAGCGTCGGTGTATAAAAGCACCGGATTCAGATGGCGAGCACGGAGTTATCGAAGGACAGTCTTCAAAAAGCTTGCATCAGTTCAAGAGCCAGCTCCAGCTCCAGCGTTAAGTTTTCCACCGGGAAAGAAGCGTACTGGGCTGTCTGCGGCGGAGAGGCTCTGTGCAGCATCTGCTCACCCGGCCGAAAAGCGTAGAGCAACGTGGAATTTCCGACTAAGATTGCTGGTGGGAGGATAATTTCATTGTCGCTCAGATGGTGCTTATCGACTCCAGCAAGATTTGCGCAAACCTTGATCAGCCTCTGCGAGCAAAGGGGCTTGGTGTTGAAAATGACTCCCAAGGACTTCTCGGGGTCTAGCCCTAAGGAAAACATAGCCGACTGGCTTGTCGCCCGGGCTCCACGACAAAGAAATCGTCGAAGAAGTGGTCGACAAGCGCATGATTTGAAAGAAAGGGCGACTTTGGCAACCCATCATCCAGCCACTCTGCAGAAGTTTGGGACCGCGTGGCCAGCTCCAATTGCCATATATTTCATGAAGCGATACCTCTTGCTCTTCTGGGCCGTGAAAGCGAACCGCACATCCTCAGATTTGTCTGTAGGCATTGTTCATGTGATCAGTCGCCAACTGTATATCGCCTTCCTGCAGCGCCAACGCTCTGCAAATGACACCTACACAGTCAGCCATAGTCATAGGGACTTTTTTGCGCGCGATGTGCTGATGGGTTTGCTGTTTGCTCCAGAAGTGGTGTGGTCATCAATTCTGCTATACATTGGACCGCCGTTGGCGTCTAAGCCTTGCTCGAGCCCAAGGCTTGGAATGACCCCTGGATAGGTTCAGCGTCAGTGATAGCTGGACCCATTGTACCAGCTTTGGTGTTTTCTCCCAGGTAGCAAAGGCAAGTTGCAGGGAGCCCTTCTTTGCATTTCTTTGCCATGAATTTGGCTCTTCTCATCATCTCCCGCGATCGCTTCAAGCTGCCCTTGGAAGAAAAGGCTTAACGGCCAAGGGCATCGACGGGGTAACTTCATAGCGCTCCAAGACTTTGAGACCCAATCTTGAGAAAATAATGCACCATAGACCACAGAGTTAGCCCATAGCAGCGCTTCAGTAGAGAACGCGCACAATCGAAAAGAATGACCCAATCAAAAGCATCACCAATGCCTAATCCACCTATAATAGGTGATCCACTAGGTAATCCTAGGTACCAGGGAAGAATGGCCTCAAGTCATCGGGAGCTTAAAACTTAAAACTCAACCACTATCAAGGTGAAGTGACAAAGCCCTAGCAGCCAGAGTTGTTGACAAGGAGTGGCAGCGACATGTCCTCCTCATCACCTTCAACAGCTCGCTGAGCCTGTTTGGGCTCAGCAGCGGCATGCGAAGGTTCCTCAGTGATGCCACCAATTCTCGAAACACTAAATGGACTCGTTGTGCTTCATCTGATAGACGAACAAAATGTATCAATCTGTCGGTCGGGATGTTCTTGCACACTAAATCTTGGTCGTACAATACGCTAGTTTAGCACTACACTCAAAGTTAGCCAGCTAAGCCCCAAGAAAGGCATCGAACTGTTGACGGAATAAATTATGCATCGTTTCGAAGCATAATTCGCATTTACATGATGGACGGGGACACCCACACTCTGATTCGATGTTTGTGCATTATTGCAGGCACTGGTGCAGGACTTTAATCAATGGGAACTTTACAGGTCTATTGAATATGTTGACAAGGGAGCGTTGGACTTCGACCGTAAACTGTAAGGCACTGACCGCTTCGTCCGCTTCCTCCTCTGTACTCTGCAGGTCCACTGCGGCCAGTGCATGCATGGGATCGTCAGTCCATTCTCCCCAGTTCTCTTCACCTGAGATCCGTAGTGCGACCAAACGTTTGCCTTCCTCAATGGAATTATGTAGTTTACACAATGGTTAACACAGTTATATAACACATTGATTCCAACACATTCAATTCAACTGTTCAAATGCTTAAAAAAACCTGATGACAATTGTATACCTCTACAGTCACAGTAGTAACTCTAGTATGCCAGGAGCACGCCATGACAAAACTGGTGCCGCGATCCAAGCAAACGTAGCAGAGTAGCCTACGGGGGTGTCTTCCTCCATCACAGATGACTCTGGCAGCGGAAGCTTTGTCACAGCCTGTGTCAACGCGTGGCTTTTCACAAACAAGTCATCATGATGACTTCAATTTGAGTACTGTATAGTACAGTAAGTTCATTGACATGCATTGACACGAAGTGCTGGAGCTGGCATGGTGGGAGTGAAATGCTGATATGTGCCAAAACTAAAATCATGCGTCACAAAGCTGCGTGATGTCAAGGCATTAAGTAGGGCTCATTGGACCCCACCTGGGCAGCCGCTCTGCAAGCCTCACGTGCTTCTTCACTGACCAGCGCATCAAACTGACTGGGTAACTCCCCAATCTTGGAGGCTAGCCTGGGATCTGAGGCTCCCAAGTGGCGAACGAGGATATAGCACGGCCAGAAAAATAAGTGTAAAGTTTAAGGCTAGTAAGGGGCTTGCGGCTAGCTGGTTGCTGCTGCTATATCAATAACCCTTACATAGTCTTACATCGAGCCCGCAAACAAACCCGCACAACTTACATGGAACGCTAACGGAAGTGCACAAACGCAGCGCATTATGTTCTGCATACCCGTGGCATTGTACCCCTGGCGTTGGAATACTGTATGATAGTGGCGGCAATTGATGGTGTTCCAGAAGTTATATCTCTCAGCATAATGTCAACTAAGCCCAGGTTGCCAGGTTGCCAAGTGTTTGAGGCCAGGAAGCTTGCTAGTCTCTCTGAGCAACCGCAAAAGTTTCCTTGGATCTTTGCAGCTCAGCGCCCAGCGCCCCCCCCGAATGAAGCCGCCCAGCAATTCTGGCACCTGTCCTTTCCTTTGAACCTTTCAATCTGTGCTTGAGATATTGAACACGTCTAGACTTCTAGACCAAGACCAACACCACCAGTCAGGCACCAAAGACTTGTCCAAACAACGAATGTGGCCTGAGTTTCTGCACATCTTGTGCTGAAGGCGCCCTGCGTCTTGCTCCATCACCACCTGACAAACATCATGGTCGCAACCATTCAGTATGACTAGGTGGCTCGCACTGGTCTCACACACTATCAAGCGGATCGAAGAAATAAGTTCAACAACATGTGCCCCAAGGTTGTGGGCCATCAAAATACAGTGACTGAAATGATATTTGCCTTTTCTCATGTTCCTTTTGTGCCTCTTCTGTTTGGCTGGCCCGCCTCCTCCATCACGCAGCACCTGCTCTGCGAACTCTTCCTGTTGAGCAATGCGTTGGGCTACCAACCTTGAACGGTGCCAAAACAGTGATTGGCTGGAAGGAAAGCAGGGAGGCCACAGGCCCTTCTCTGGCCGTGTTTTCAAACTTACGTGCTAAACAGCAACGAACCTGGTGACAATAACTCATTTGACATGTCCACGCATGAGGGGACCCATCAATTGGAACAGGAATATCAATAACTACATTACTGGATGCGTTTCCGGATGTTCACTGCTGTTATCAGCATCACCCATCATGGCAACGATACTGCATTAATTAAACGATCTGAAACCCAGGTTCTCAAACTGCGATTCCAATGTCTGCAAATGTGTATGTGTGTAAAGTATACAATATATAGATAATATTAAATTCACTACAACAAAAATATACGTATTATATACAGTATGTATTTGTATGTATGTATGTATGTATGTATCACGTTGGCTTGTAGCGACCCAGCGACCTCAGAACCAAATACAGGCTGCCCAACTCCAAATCAGAATTTAATGCGAAACAAATGCAGTTCTCCAGGGAGTTGTTCCCCCTGCAGCTGCGTTGCAAGTCATCAACCGCCGTCTCCCCATCCTCAGCAAAATCTGGCCAAAACACTAGCCACAAGTAAAATTCATTGGTTTTCCGCCTTGCAATGTTTTTGTTTTATATATATACATGTACATACTGGCATCCGCCAAATTAAATTCAAACCAACTCAATGCTGGCCACAGCGCACTTGACAGCCAACCCGTTCAAGCCTTCTTTACGGTTTCTTCAAGTACGGTTGTTTTCATTGTTTCACTGTAGATACTGTAGTTCTGACTTTGTTGCTTGCTCAACTGGTAGCATGTGCAAGCCAGCAACGATGACCAGGTCCTCGTCCTGCCCCGCTTCAGGAAAAATTTGGAGAAAGGACTTGAGGTGCCACAAATGTGCTGCTGGGTTCTAAGGGAAACGAGTTGTCGAAGTGTAACCTTCAAGAAGAAAAACTTGTCCTAGTGGTGATATTTTGCGCATATGTAAATAGATGTCACTGCAACAATGTGTGAGTTGCTTCTAAAATACTTCAATTCAAAGTTAACACGTCCCGTATTATTTTGCAATGTTTGGTAGAATGAGCACTGCGTGTATCACCTTGCAGGCTTTACATGTTTGCATGGTGGAGTCTTGCCGCCTACATGAACGTCACGGGTCATAACCAACAATTAGCAAACACACTTCGAACTTGTGTTTTCAGTTACACTCAGTTACCACGATGGGAAGGAAGGCGAGGGAA